CAGCTCCTCTTTCGAGGAATAACTTTTTCAATTTGTAAATACAAATGAATTTCAATGGAAACAATTGTGTGTCTGTGTGTGTGTTTGTATGTTCGTACAGATAAGTATATTCTGAAATGAAATTATAATTTGGAATTTGTAGTGTTGTCAAAAAGTATTTATGTATATGATATCGTTCTATGGAATTCAATTATTTCCCTGAAAAGGAAGTAGATTTGTAAACATTGCAGATAACATGAAATTGTTTAATTGGTATTATTTAAAAGGAAAACAAAAGCTTATTTCAATTTCGTAACTATGTTGTATTAAGATAATATTGAATAATTGTTCAACTCAGCACAGATGTAAAGTAAAGACTTGCAAGAAAAAATTGTTATCTTTATAATATTATGTTGTAGAGCTAAGGCGCTTTGATCAGTCCACAGTTATGCTTAACAAACTTGGTCTATTTTGTTTTATTTTAGCCGTAAAAGTATTGGTTTTGTGTCCTTAAACAAGCCATTCAGAACCAGACTCTAAACCAAATATCTTACACAATGGGAACTCTGTTCGGGCACTATTTTTTGTTCGAGTGCTTTTTTTTTTCCCCAGTGGGTGGCACATCTGCCGGCATGCCTTGTAGCTCTTGTAACTGACCAAGCCTGGGAGCTAGCAAATATTTAGCTTCTTGTTGTTGTCATGTTTTTGTGCTCTACTCGCTATCGCTATCGCTGTTGCTATTGCAGTAGCAGATGCGCTGTCTAGCTGTGTATTAAATGCCATTCAGCAGGACTGCACAGCACTGCACTTCATCACTCCACTTCACTCAGTTCAGCTCACTTCACTCCACTCTACTCCACTCCACTCCACTCCACTCTACTGTACTCCACTCTACTCCACTCTACTCCACTCTACTCCACTGCACTGCACTTCAGCGCTGGCCGAACTGATTTCCAGCGCCATTCAAACGAGCGCTGCATACTTTCCAGCTGCGCTCTGACGCTGCATTGCGTCATGTAAAAGATAAACAAGTCAACATTTGTAGAAGCCAGCTGATGTGGCCGGACGGACTAACTAAGTATGCTTATGACCTATGCAGCCGCAGTGCAGGCGCCAGCGGAAGGCAGCAGACAGCAGGCAGTCATTATGAGTGAAAAGCCCCTCATAAAGTTCATCAAATAATCGAAATCAACGCAAGTAGCTCTGCAATTTATATGCAAATTTTACTTAAATTGTTGTGGTGGGGTCGTGCCAGAACCTAACCCCGGGCAATTGCCGTTCAAGTCGTCGTCGCCGTCGCCGTTGCCGTCGCCATTACGTCTTAGCCCAAAGTAATTGAAACAAGAAATATGTATTTGACCAGTACACACACACACACACACATACATACATACATACGTACACACGCACACCCCACAATCAGGCTTTCAATTTGGTGCTGGGCCTTAGTAGGCCGCCACGCGCCAAACTAACGTAATTTGAAATGGTCGAGGGGCAAATTACATACTTACTTGCTCTAATGCGACTACGGCAGTGGCCGTCGCAGTCGCCGTCGACGTCGACGTTGGCGTTGGCGTCAGCGTCAGTGGTCATTGTACACTCAACTTTAGGATTAGCGTCGCGCAAATTGCCTAAAACACAAATCCCCATGCAGAAAGTTTAAAACCAAATTGCGTGGGCAGCTCTGCACTCAAAAAAAAAAACAAGAAAGGAATGCTAAAGTCGAGCAGGCTCAACTCTTAAATACCCTGTACCACCCCACAAAAAAGTAATTAAATTAATTAATTAATTTAATTAAATTAATTAACTAAATTAATTTAATTAATTAACTAAATATTAACTAATTAAATATAAAATATTCCATGCATGCATACATACATTTACATTTACATCAGAATCGTGCCTTATGCGTGTTTGTGTACTTGTACATATGTATGTATGTTTGCATTGGGCCTGGTTATATGGCTATAACTTTCTTTCCGATCATTCTATCATAATGAAACTTGGTATATGGATATATAATTACTAACCAAATGTGACTACCAAATTTTATTTCAAAATTCTAAGAATTACGGGAGTTATAGAAAATCGTTAATAGGGGGGGGAGTGGGGGGGTGGATCAGAAAAAATTAACAAACTCGTCCTTTCTCGGTCTCAGGAGAATCTGTATACCAAGTTTGGTTATTCTAGCTCTTATACTTTCGGAGATCCTTGCGTTCATACAGACAGACAGACGGACAGACGGACAGACGGACAGACGGACATGGCTATATCGACTCGGCTTGTCATGCTGATCAAGAATATATATACTTTGTGGGGTCTACCAAGCCTCCTTCTGTGTGTTCCATGTGCACTCGCACAAAACTAATATACCCTTGTACCCTTTGGGTACAGGGTATAAAAATAATAATAATAAAAAGTAAAACAAAATTACCCTCACACTAAAAACTGCATTAATTTTTTTTCTTATATTAAGAAATTACAGCATTTTTCTTATTTAAGAAAATGCTTTTCTTAATTTAGCCAATTTTTGTTTTGTTTTTTTTTATAAGTGTAATATTTTAATTATACTGTTATTATTTACAACAACTTAAATTAAACTTATAGAAAAATACAAATACAGCTTAAACTAGGAGTTTAGTCTTATTTAATTATTTATGCTTTATATAAATCTATTGATTAGCCAATTGGATTGAAAGTTATACTATATTTTTAATTTCTATATTTATTCTACACATATGTTTTTTCTTAAATTTAGAGACAATTTTTCGAATGAATGACATTTTAATTGTGTGTTCATTTTGTCCTGAAACTTAAAAACTACTGCTTTTGCATTTAATTATAATTGTTTTAATATAATAATATGTACATTTAAATGAATATATTCAATTAAAATAGACTGTGCGAAATTAAAGTAAATCCACGTAATTTTATTTGATTTCAACAACTTCATTTCAATATTTCGATTTCAATTTATTCACTTCTTCATTCATTATGAATTTACAAGTGAGGTAAAGATATCTTAATCTTAAGAGTACAGGAAACAACTTCATTTCAATATGTCCATTTCATTCATTCATTATGAATTTACAAGATAGGTAAAGACATCTTAAAATAAATAAAATAAAATAAAATAAATTAAGAGTACAGGCAGCAGAGCTTTTTCTACTTTATTAAACAAAATGAAGAATTATAAAAAGTTAAACAATTTACAGTATACAGCGGGAAAAATTATACAAAAAATAAAAACACATAAAGCTTAATGACTTAAACCAAACTTTAAAGTTCACTAAATATTTGAAAAAAGACTACTTCTTTTTGAAATAAATTTTCTCAAATTTAAAACAGCTGTCTTTGTCTTATTTTAGGCGTGATTTTCTCTTTTTTCCGAGTGTGCTTATTTTGTAGCCTTCTGAAGGAGTAGTATTAGTCCGAGAACAAAACAAAGAGAGAGTGTTAGAGATCTGCGATCACTTAAAAATGCCGCTGCAATCTGTATGTGGGTGTGCGTGTGTGTGTGGGGCAAGCATTGCATTTTAAACAACAGCACATAGAACATTTTTATATATACAAGTATTTTAAAGTGCTAATAAAAGTGTCATCAAAAAGTTGTAAACTAATGGCACTTTGTGAGAAATGGGAAAATAAGTAAACGAGCAAAAAATAGAATGTAAAATGAAATGTGTTGGCGCGCTTTCAAAAGTTCGACCGCAATTGTTGAAAATTAATAGCTGAAATGCTCATTTACAAAGGAATTACAATGTAAAGCGGTCCATTCAACTGAACAGCTCCCAGCCCAGCCCAGCCCAGCCCAGCCCGACCACAGTCCGAGTGCGTGCCGCAGCAGTGTTGCACATTATTTTTACACCACACTCGTATCAATTTGAAACTCAAGTTTGGCGCAACTTTGGCGTTGTTGTATTTTTTCTTCACGCTGTTATTGCTGTTAAAAAGTTTGCCCCCCAACTCATAATTCCCGATTGCTCTTTTGTTCAATTGCTGGCCAGCTGGCTGCCCAGTTGGCTGCCCACTTGGCCTTCTTCACACCAGCTTGCGTGCCTCCTGCTTCATTGTTGAGGCAGGGAGGCGCACAGACAGCAGTCGCAGTCGCAGTCGGCTGGCCACGGCAAGGACTTTGGACAATCATGGACGCTGCTGCTATGACTGTTTTACGCAACATTGGCTTGGTTACTTGAGCGCTAGGACGAAGTAGGAGCAGCATTGGCAGCGGCAGTGGCAGCAGCACCAACGTCTGTTTCACGCTAATTGGAAAAGTTGGCAGTTTCTTTGTGGCACGCACTTTGTGGCATTGCGCGTGGGCGATTCGAGGAGTATCCTCTTGGCGGTGATGGTAAAGTTACCAAAGCCCCGAGTGCTCAACAACGTATTGGTTTTGAACTGTAGCATGCGGCTTTTATTACCTAGAATCGCGAGTTGAAGATGCTTATTAGCAGCTGACATGGCGTCAAAGTTTATGAAAAGAAAAGATTTTCTAATTGCGCCATTATATTTATGTATATATGTATATTTCTGTGCACCCCTCCACCCCCCCTCTCTCTCTATCTACCTATTTCCCGGTCATTTCCGTTGGCAAGCGACTTTTGGCGCAGGCTGTCAAGAATTTCGCCTTCCTGCCTCTTTATGTCCTTATAATTACAATAACAAAATGACTTATTTTACGGGCAAATGTTTTGCATGCGTTCCCATCACCATCGCCGTTGTTTGCTGTCTGATAACTCGCACTCACACACACACACGCACACACACTCACCCATACACCATACTCCATACACACACACATAGAGATAGTCTCTCTAAGTTACGTTACATTCCAGTTGAGTGTGAGAGCGCAGGCGCATGCGAACAATATAGGGATATTTCCAGTTAACGAGCAGCAGGACCAGCTTGAAATGGTCTACTACGGTAATGCGTGGAATTCAGTTGGTTAGTCTCTTGCGTTAAATGGCAGCGTGCGGCAGACAAAAGCGCATGAAAAATTCATAGGACTGCGACGCCGTATCTGTGCGGGCAATGAACGAAGACGACAACGCCAACGACGTGACAGGCGAAGGAACAAAAGGCACAACGCACGACACAGTCAACCAACTCGCATTCCACATCTCCCTCTAGGCCTCCATAGAAACAAACCTCATATCAACGTACGTTCGTCACAAACGTGCGTCGTTACGTGTAACGAGGTGTGTGTGTGTGTGTTTGTGTGTAAAACCGAACCGAACGTTTGCCACTCATATTCTGTAGTTGTCGTTGTTGCTTTTATAGAAAACATCAAATTGAAAGCGCGTTCTGTGTGTGCATGTGTGTGTCTGTTTGTGTGTGTGTGTAAGTCTGTGTTTTTTTGGCCAAGTTGAAAATGGTTGACATTGTCGAGTGGTAAAAACCGTAAAGGACTCTTGAAAACGACAGCCATGAAGGCAGCAACTAAAGTCAATGCGAAACCAATATACTCTAGAGACCACAACAGCAGCAGCAGCAGCAGCAGCAGCAACACAACACAACATAACAACAACAACAATAACAACCACAACAGCAACTACAGCAACAACACCAATAACAGAAAACAGTGAAAAACGAAAAAGCAAACTCGATTATTTTTCCATTGAAACGACCTTCCCACCAAAACCCACCAAAAAGGGGCCCAAAACAAACTTGACTTGACTTCAGCGACCCCGTCTCCTTTCTGCCGATGGCGAATGCAAATTAGCCTAAATTTAATGGCCATTAAAGTAGGAGGCGTGGCGCATATAGTTTATGGCATTTTAATCATTTTGGCTTTTATGCTTTTTTATTATTATACTTGTGCTTTGCAGTCACCATGCAAATTGCTAACCATTGGCCAGCAGCAGCAACCATAACAGAGAACAACAGTACCAACAACAACTACTGCCAATAAATGTGCGGCACAGCGGGCAGCACAATGATGATGAGCAGCAGAGCGGAAAGTGGGGGCGTAATGGTGAGCGGTGGCACAAGAGCGAGAACCACATCAATATCATCAGCAACAACAACAACAACAACAACAGCAGCAGCAGCAGCAACAAAAACAGCAACAGCAACGATAGCAACAACAACAGCAGCAACAACGACAACATCGGTAACAGCAGCCGCCAACAAACACAAAGCCCCACTTCCGCACAGGATGCGCACAGGAAGTTATTTTGGTCGTTTAAATGTGCGCATATATCTCATATATGTCTGCTGCTATCTCCTGACAATGGCCGCGGCAGGCAGCAACAATGTGGTGAACGGGCTCAAATGCTACTGCAATCCAAAGGAATGCGATGTCATACGTGCCCTCGATTGCCCCGGCAAAGGACTCATGCTGTGGGACCCATGCAAGTAAGTATAGAGTGCATCAGAAGTCATTAACATTATCATCGCACATGCAATTACATATATCTTGGCATGCAGGTATGATTTATATTCATCTGATATGGTTGGCGGTTGAAAAAATTCTACGTTCTGCTTCAAAATAAAGCAAACAAATTAGAGGCAATTTACTGCAAACATTTCCTGCTTCCTTCAGCTTTTCATTTTGTTCACTCAATTAGAAAGTGATTTCAAATGTTCACCCTGAAATATTTTACAATTTCACATTTTTGTGTTTGCTGTTATACATTGTTATTATTGATTAAATGATTGATTATTATTAATTGATTGGTTGCGGAAGACCTGAGATGTTTTAATTGTCCTTCAAAGACTTCCAAATTAATTTTTGTTGATCAAATTGTATGTGACCCCCAAAAGTATGCTATTCTTAATTTATTTTGTGTTCCATTCCCACAAAAACCGATAGAAGCGCTTTGCATTACTTTTTAAGAATAAATGGAATTGGAAACAGGCCAGGTAGGACGACCAAGGAATATTTGCAGACTAATATTGTTATGTAAAAAGTGATAACATAATTTAAATGTAAATTTATTATATACTTTTAAATTATGTTATATTTAAATGTAAATTTATTATATACTTATTTTAAAAAGCACACATGAGATGGAAATATTTTACATTTGTGTTTTGTTGCTCGTATTCTGCACAATCATTTTGTAATAATGATCATACTTAAAAGAAAAAAATAATAACGATGGTAACGTTTTACGTTCAATCAAAACTACAGTTTATTATTAAAAAAAAAATAAATAAATAATTTATTGCACAACATCAATGTATATGATTTAGCGCCATATTATTATTTTCCCATCATCAGACTTCATAAGACCTGCATAGACAGGAAGCTTTGCCTGTCATGTGTTGGCAAAATCGTTATGTATGTACATATACTTTCTATATACATATATGTATGTACGACAGTTGGATAATTTATTTCCGCTTCAATTCGTTATTCTGTCAACTGCAACCGAATGAATGCTGGTTGCTGTGTAAAGCATATGAGTACGAGTACGAAGATAAATCCGTCAGTGGCTCATGGCATGAATAACGTTGCATCAACTAATTATGAATGATTGAATGGTTCTCATATCGCTGTTCAAGATTTTTTGCCATGACCCCGCTTTCGCTTCATGCGTGAATTTTTGATAATGGATACTTAATACATAACATATAGTATAGTTTGTTGCTTTAATACTTGAAATTATTTCTTGAAATTCATGATTTAACATTTAAATTTCATTTATTCGTGCAATAGCATTTAATGGCATTGTCTTAAGCTGATTTGGAGCAAATATAAGATGGATTGAAGAAATCAAATATTTGTTTTTGCTGCAAATATCTCTAGCAAACATTTATATTAATTTTTTCTTGTTGTGAAAAGCACAATATAAGAATGCATAAGTAACTCAATAATTTAAAGATGCATAAATATTTTCAAAAAGAAATTGTGGTTTGTCTTAGAGGAGTCTATTGTGCCAACCAAGAAAATAATCACTTTTATTACTTTTTACTACCTGATTAATATTAGAAGTATAGTTGAAATGCTTTTATTGATATTCATTTGAAGTTCAAGGCAGCTCTGAAAAAAATGTTCCATCCCTTCTGTTGAGCAGCAAGTCTTACGCAATACTAGAAGAGAAGAATTGTTTAGAAACGTTGGCCGTATTATTTATTTTTAGAACAATATGCAATCAATTATGAAAAAGATATATATTCTTTAAGTCAATTTTTTCACTTTTATTTAGTAAAAAATATATTAAAGATTATTGTTATTGAGTTTGACAATCCGCTTGAGAAGAATAGGACACGATCTCAATAACGTTATTTATTATTATTACCTTTTGTTTCTAAAATTTTCACATCCATCATTCAAGCTTGTGTAAAACGTAAAATGCGAAATTATAAGTAGGTTTGGATTTTTTCCGCTTGTTTCAAGATTTCGAATTTAAATTTCCGCTGAACAAAAAATGCGGAATTGAAACATGTAACAAGAAGCGTATCGTTTATTTCCACTTGTTTCCAAATGCATTTATTCTGCTCATTATTACGAATTCCGAGAAGGGGTTGCAAATTGGTTTTAATGTCATCTTTAAATTGTAACTCGGAAAAAATAAAATTTTAAAAATAACTTATTAATTTTTGTAAATTTATTTAATTTAATATTTAATGCCAACTAGCCTAGTATTTTCCCAAGTGCAGATTGTGTGTGTGTGTTTCCATCTGAAGATGAAACAGTTCCGTTTAAATTGTATTCGATTTTGTTTTGTGTGGGGTTCGCGAAATTAGTTGCCTCGCGGCATTCAAAGAGACAATACCCAACTGAGACAAACAAGAAACAATTTGTGCACTCGCAACATATACATATATACTATATATATATATATAAACATTTATTTATTCATGCAGATGTTGTCGCATATGCGCGAAGACGTTGGGCGAGTCGTGCGGAGGACCGGGCGGCTTTTCCGGACAATGTGAGCCGCCACTGCAGTGTGTGACCAAACTGCCCATAAGTAGCGGCCTGGGCGTGTGCATGGGTAAGTCGGAATTAATATTAGTATAGGCATTGGCATGGCCATCACGTATTATAGACCACAGCGCCGTCGAACAATATGTCGACATATAGTTCGTTCTGCTTCAGCAATTTCACGCGCATTTGCCAATGGCTCTCGGGGGCGTTGGAGGGGTATTCGTCGGGTAGGAACGTATAGTTGCGTATTTCATATTTTTGTTGCTGCATAATCAGATGTGTATGAATTGGATTAGCTGTTAATACTGCGGTTAAGTTAATTGCGATTAATTTGTCCGCTTACCGCCACAATTGGACAACCATTAGGTAAATCGCTAACACTCCGCAGTCGTTTCAATAGTTTATGAAAGAGATTTTTTCCATTTAGCGAGCTCAGATACCTGCAGCCGTCCATTTTGATGTTCACCAAATTGATGCGCTTATTACCCTTCGCAAATACGTCGAACACGGCATGGATTGTGAACTTACTGATGGTCTCGTTGAACCGGAAATTTACCGAAATTGTTGGCGTTACGTGCTTCTTGTGGAGCTGACAGGATAGTTCCAGTAGCTGACTGGTGTATGATTGACATGAAAACGTATACATCATAATTCCATAGTTATTCTGATATAGAAAGAAATTGGAATTGGTTAAATAAAGCTGCAATGCAATCTGACAAGAACCATTCATAAACTACATAATTAAAATGCCTATACTTGCTTCTTTCTTCAAGTATGTATGATGATTTAAAATTTAATTCTAAAATCTTCAGCCAAATGTAGATTCTTAAAATATGTGTACTTTACAAATATTTGTAAATGAAAAAAAAACCGTATTTTGTCCATAAATTTTGTCTTGGGACGCACTTGGTTGGTATCATGAATATGTTGCTCTGTGCGTGTGCGTGTACGTGCATGTTTATTAAAGCCAATTTCTGGGCCATCTCGTGCGGTCTGCAACAAACCAGCACTAGTAGGTGCAATGCTTTTATTGAACACATTTTTCGAAAATTAGAAATGAAAACGAAAATACGAGATGCTAGCAAAGAAGTGCAAACTTAGTTTTATGCTTGAAAAATTTTCCCCCACTTTGCTTTTCTATTTGAAGATTTAGTTTTTTTAAATTCAGAGAAAATTTATTTTGTAAAATGAACTCGATTGCAGATTCCCAATTTCTAGTAATTGATATTTTTTTGGAGCATAGCTTTCGGGACTGGCTAACAAGCGCTTAAATTTTATTTACGCTAGTTTTTATTTCTGGAATCTTCTCATTTAGAGACCAAAGTGAAGCTTAATCTAATATATTTATTTAATTAATTAGAATTAAATATTTGAAGTACGGCCCTGTGTTTACATTTTTTGTACGCTACTTGTAGTTTTTATTTATTGAATCTTCTCATTTAGAGACTAAAGTAAAGCTTAATCTAATATATTTATTTAATTAATTTCATTTAAATATTTAAAGTACGGCCCTAATTGTTGTTGCTGGGTGGGAAGAACTATTTTAAATGTTTTTTTTTTATTTTTTTTTTATCACGTTATCAATTTTCAGAGTTTTTATTTTAAATTATTTTTCATAGCCAATTTGTATCTTATTTTGATTTTCTTAATCACTTGTAGATTAAAAAAATGTGTTAAATAAAGTTGACTTTTTATTCAAGGCAGTTTTATATTAAAAAGGCACATTTTATTTAAATACTTAAATTGAAAAAAATTGCTAAAATAGTTTAATTAATACTTTTTTATTTTATTCATATAATTATTCTACACACCCTGTATCTAGAGTATTGGCTTCTCCACTTGCTGTTCTCAGAGTGTAGTTGCAAAGTTAATCAATTTAATAAAACAATGCCACGTCTGCTTTGCCAGTAATGTGTGCTCAGGAAAATTACGGACTTAGGTGCTTTGCATTAGCAAGGAAGCGTAAACAGTAAGGAACTGTTCGCCAAAGGCTTAAGCAGTCAGTGCTGTTCGAATGTAGGTTAGCCTCACTTTTAATTAAGAATATCAACTAATATCTAAATAAATAACTAGCTGCTGTTCACACAGTCGTGCTGCTTGTCAAGTTGAAGTTTCTGCAGCTGTCGCCACTTCAGGAGAACTCGACCTACTTCAAAATTATATTTCCTTATAATTCCAATTTCTCATCAACACTAGACAGCTTGGCAGAAAATGGGCGTTCTCAGAGGCCCCCTCCCCCCTGTCCATTGAAACTGAATCATCAAACATTTATGCAGCACTTGAGCAAGCACAAGCATTCATGTGTTTCCAGACATTAATTGAAAGGGGTGACAGTTTTATAGAATAGGGAGGATGTGGGCCAAAGCTTATTGAGTTGCAACCTAATAGGGCATTGAGTTTGCCTTCAGCTGGATAGCCTTAATCAGAACTAAACAGAAAAGTCCAATGTTTAGCCAAAGTTAAGAAAACTTTGAAATCAAAAAATTTCCATTCTCTATTAAAAATAGAAAAACAAATAGTAGCACGTCATCACACTGATTTAAAAATGAAAAACTCTTCGATTGTAGAAATAATTGTTCTATACACACACACACACACACACACACACTAACATTTTGTTGATAACTGCCAACTTTTATACTGTAGTGTTGGCTCTTTTGAGAGCTCACTTCATTTACATACTCGGTATTTCGGCATTCCCTCTCACCTTGGCTTCATTTTCTTGCGGCCATTGCATAAATTGTAGAAATATACACGTTATATAGAGTTGATACCGCATTGCACTGCCAACTGCTGAACAAAAACTAAATGGGCGATAGGCGAGGCTATCCATAGGTAGTTAAAAATGCGTGCAGGTCATTAGACATGTCATTATCATCTAGCCAGATATAATGGCATATTAAATGCCCAGAACCAGACAGGGTTTTGAACTGCCGAACACGTTTAAATCTGCCATTGCGTCATGGCCTAATTATTTCAGATCTTCAGCACCTCACTGCCCTGACATACAACGAGAATAGTAACTGCACCGAGGGCGATACAATTGTTCTCCAGCCGGGATGCGAAATAACCAATAAACGCTGCCAGTGCTGGCCCACCATGCGCACCTGTCTCAGTCAATTGGCCAGTGGTGGGGGGTCACCAAATGATTCGCGCTGGCACTTTAAGAATCTCGAGGTATTTCCACCACCGACAAAATAATTAAATGTAAGCAATGTTTTATTCCATAATTAACCGTCAATTGTTCATTGCCAGGACTGCCAATTAAACTTGGAAAATCTAATAAAACTCGAGTTGGAATTCGATGAAGACTACAAAATCTCACCGAGCAAATTTTCATACAAAAAGTTGCGCAGAAAGCGAAAATCGTTAAGAAAACGCATGTAAGTAATGTTTACAATAAATAAATAATAAATAAATAAATATGATCTTTTCTTCATCTTCAGCATCATCTTGGGGGACTGAGTTAAGCGCCAATAAAAGCAACTCTATTTCAAAAAGTCTTGTACAGTTAGCATGCTTATTTCTAAAATATGGCTATAACAATACTGATAAACACAACATATAAAATACATATAAATATATAAAGATATATATATAAATATACAAACATAAATATAAATAAACCTGTATGTATCCTAAGAGATTTGTTACTTTATTGTTTTTAGATGCGCATACGTATGTATAAATTCGCAATTTCTATTTCTAACTACTATAATAAATTGAAACATTTTAAGAATGTTGTTGCTTTTAAACGCCTTTGCATATTTTTCTGATCTTTAAACGGAAGGGTTGGAAAATTGTTAAAAATTGAAATGAAATATTGCTAGTTAGTATGTTTTAATTTCTTTTAATCCAGCTTATGTCTCTTTAAATCCGAAAATGTTTACGGAAGCAACAGCCCCAAAAGGTGTTCCCATGTCTCTGTGGAGAACATTTCGTTTTTTGCAAATCGTAATCCTCCGATGTGTAAAAATCAAGCACAATCACACTGCAGCTGAGTTTTTGTTTTTAAAAACCCTCAAAAAGTTATAAAAAAGAGAATAATTTTTGCTCCACAGGTCATCACAAATGAATCAAAAGAACAAATTACTAAAAATACTTTTTGTACAACAAAATTGATAAAATTTTCAATTTACTTTTTTTCGCTTATTGAATGAGAGCAAAAAAATTTGGTCACGCTTCAGCGAAACACGCTCAGGTTATTGAAATTTTATTTTTAATCCGCCAAATATACCTGCCAGAGGAAACGACAACAGGGGCGATAGCTAACTTTTCTCTCATTAACATTACTAATTTTGATGTAATTAATAATACATTTGAAAAGATTGTAAAACTAAATGTTTTGACAGTTTTTATGGTAAGTTCTATAGATAAGAAATTTGCAAACAAGGAAGCATTATAAACATTTATAACAATTGCTCTCCCTTTTGGCAGTATTGCTAGTTATCTTGAAATCATGTGAAGCTGAAAATTCTGAGAGAGCAAACAATTACACAAGTTGATAATTTTGTGATAACTTTTGTTGGCAACATAAGTTCTTTATTTTATTTATTTCCACAAGCGAAATTTCGGAATAGTCCTCAAAAAAGCAAAAAAAAAAAAAAAAACTATACATATATAAGGAAGGCAGTTTGGAAAGCTAAAAGAGTTAAGAGAAGTCATTATTCGGTAATGGGCAAAATTTGACATTCAAATGCTCAAAAATTTGGTGAATTCAACGCCAAGTTGAAAACCGAAGGTATTGAACAACGACGGGTGTTCCAGTTCCAATATATTCATCGTTTAAAATTCTTTGTTTTGCTATATTTTATTTAGTTAATTATTTTGTTTAACAATATTTTGTTTCATTTTTTAATTATATTTTCTTAAGTTTTATGTGCTTTTTTGACTTGAAGTCTATTGATAATATTATAAAGTTTAAGCAATAATTTGTTTTTTGAAAATATATTGAACGATTCAATCTTTATACTAAGAAACGTAGTGTCCTAGTTAATTATTCGCGCACCTTATTCAAATACAGAAATTTCGAGGAAGGAAGCACATTTAAAAAAGGCGCGCAGGATTACATATATTTTCAAGCTAGCTGTTGCGAAACTTTTCACCGTTTACCAGCACAGCAGCTGGGTTCAAAGCAAACAGACATTGTCAGGCTTCAGTTAGATTAAACTGCTTGAAAACAAAATATTGCATACTTTTAGCTGCCCGTTTAAAATTTTGAATTTTGAAATTTTCCTTCGCGCTATTCTTTCTATCCTCATGTAAATTTGCCTTTTTTGTTTATTTCCAATACCAAAAGGGTACACAAGCATTAAATTAATGTAGCTATTGAATAAAAATGCAGTTTTAAGTGATTTTAAATACTGGCTGAAATTCTGTAGAGGTTTCTTTTTTGTTATTCTCACCCCTTCGTATTTGCTGGCATTTATTGCTGCGTCATGTGGCCAACTCACATATTTAAATAAAAAGGCAGACAAAATATTGAGGAGAATAAAAGTTGGCACCCGCACCAACATCCCCATCGATATCAATAGATGCCATCGACAATCTCTTCATCTGAGCTTGGCCTAAAACCTACGATTCAAGTGCTCTCGAAACGGCAATCGGCGGCAGTCAAGTGTCGGCCTGACTGGGGTCAGTCTCCAGAAGATCAAAGATATACCAAAGTATTTGGCGCTTAAGTGTTTCGGAGTGTGTGTCTCTCTCTGTATATGTGTGTGTGTGTGTGCGCGCTTTATTGAGTTGTTGTTATATATATTTTTGTGGAGTGCGTTACAAATTATGTTGCGCACCTTAGTGGAGCACACAAAAGCAATTAGAGGAGACGCCGTCCACTTTGACAAGCTCAATGAAATGCATAGTTGAAGGGGGGGAAAATGCCATGTTGTTGTTGCTTTTGTTGTTTTTTTGGGCATTTATTTATAGACGACGCGTCGGGGCTGGGGATACAAAAAGCCGTTGGATTGCAAAGCTACTGTGGCCGGCACAGAGAGCTGAAGTGGCCGCAAAAAGGTGTTAAAGAATTCTACTTTTTGTGCTCTTATTACGAGTGTTTTTCTTTCTGTCTTTTCTTCCATATATATACTTGTATATACATATATTTTGTGTGATGTGATGTGTGGCTGTTTGATGGACATTAACGATATGAAAAATGTCCGAGTGTGTGTGTGTGTGTGTTTGTGTCTTTTTTTTCGGGTTTGTTTCAGTTGTTTGACAAGCGATGCGTACAAATCAAAGCAGTTAGGCGAGATCGGGATTGGATCGAGTTGGCGCTGCTCGTTGTTTGATTAATAGCCGCACAATTGATATGTTAAGTGGTAAATTACGCCATTGTGTGGCTTGGAAGGCAAATGTTTTGGACGTCCAAACGGCACATTGTTGTTTGTTTGTGAGATCGAAGCGTTTAAGGCGCCGCATAGAGCCACCAAAAAGATCTTATCTGGGGGAGAGCGCTGAGGCGGAGCTTAAAGTGCGCAAAGTGATTTAATTTTGAATGGCGGCGGCTGTGCCACAGACAGAGAAAGTTGAGCAACTTTGGCTTTGGACACAGCTGGACAATTATTTAATTATTTCAATTTGTATGGCAGATACTTATACATAATATACATACTCGTAGGTAAACGATAAACCCCTTTAGCATACAGCCAGCTGTCCAGCTAGACGGAAACTTTATTTATGGGCTGTTTAAATTAAAAGCCATTAGTCTACTTTTAACACGCTTTCAGTGTCAGCGTCGTTGTTTTTATGGTCACGTTTATATGTTTAAATAAAACAGAAAATCCATTAAAACCCTTTTGCATACATATTATAAATACAATAGAGCACTGTCATTAAAATTTTGCCACGCCATAAAAATCGTCGCATTGGACAACAATCGAAGAAGTGTTATAAAAATCGTTTAAAGACATCGGCATATACTTTTATTAGCGATCCCCAAAACTGCCCCACCCTCCTGCCTCGGCCCTGTTCGATGAATGCTCAACTAAAATGATTTAATTTCGAAACGTGCCGTGCACTCTTTATGGCCAATTCGATATATAAATATGTATACATACAGCAGGTAAGCGTCAGTGAGTGACTTGGGTTTCGATATCGGGTGATATCATGTTTATATCGAGTTGAATAGCTTGTCCGCGACGGCCCTGACAGTTTCTCGACTGAAGAAATTGTTGGGAGAGATTTCTGTATTCTTTTAATTACTTTGTTAAAGTGCAGAGTCGAAGTAAATTAGGCTCGAAAATATATTTTGATAAAACAGTTGAGAAGAAAATTGTTCGTAAAGATCAATTTAACATTGGAAATTATTTGCTTAATTTATTCTTAACATATTATAAAATAATAGTTTCAGGTTAAGCGCGAAACTTTGCAACAGCCCATCTGTGTTTTTCAAAAACAACTCATTTTTATGGCAGGCTTGTACTAAACAAGAATGGGAGGTTAGAGTCGTTTGGGTCCATTTCTCAAATACCCTGTATCCACTTCTTTGCATTAGGAAAAAAATAAAAACTTGACTTGATTTTTGGATTTAATCTGAAATCTGAATTTGGTTATTCTAGCTCTTATACTTTCCAAGATCCTTGGGTGCATATAGACGGATGGACGTCTTGTCATACTGATCATGAATATATAGATGTATGTACTTTAAATATAGGGTATACAAATTTACAAAGCTACCGATGCTCTTAACATTTTAAGCAATTATTTTACAATTTAAAAAGCTGAAGATACTTTTTTTTCTGTGTTTTTGGGGGCTCGTGAAGCGATTTATAGGGATTTAAGCAAAAACAATAAATGAATCGTCAAGTAGTGCTATTATAATAAGATTATTATTATTTTTATATCATTAATATTTGTCCTAATGTCCTAAAAATGTCATAAGAATAACTCAAATTATTTGCATATTTAATTAAGTAGTTTTAATATTCAACACGTTTTGAATGGAAATCAAATGTCATAATTAAACAATTAAATAAATACTGAGTTAACAATTAAATCATTCTTCTCATTTGGTCACACAAAGTAATTGTGATTTTTGACATGTACAAGAAGAGTTAGATGTAAATGATGTGTAGTAGATTATATAAGAAAAGTATTTGACAGTGCAAAGACGGGCTAAAGAAGTATATAGTATTGTTATGAATATCATGAAAGTATCCTTATTTGTTTGTACATCAAGAATAAGTAGGGATAAAGCTAATAAAATAATAACAATTGTTTTCGGTGTACTTCCAAGTAGAATAAATGTAGGTGTAGACCTATTTTTACAGGAGTGTAAAAATTAAATGGAAATCAGTGGAGCTATTCCTTTAATATATTTTTTTTAAGCTTTGTCCATTTAAACTAATTCTCAGGCATAACTAAACTGTGACCAGTTCTAAGCTAGTACGTGCTTAAGCGTCATAAATATAGCATGGAGCTGACAGGCGATGAAGCGACATAAAGTCAAAGAAGCGGCACGTTGCTGTCATTTTGTTGGCGCGTTTAATAAACTACTAGCAGTGCACAGCACTCTACATACACACGCATATGTGCACGGATTTCCTATATATATAAATATATATTGCTCCGTGTATATAGTGCCTGGCGATGGCTGTTATATGATTTCATATATCATCGAAGTGCGTTCGACGAGCAGCAGACGCTGCTGCCTGTCTGGCTGGCCTGGAACTGAAGAGTCTGCGCCTGCGCTTTTACCAGAACTGTTAACACACTCAGAAAAATTAATAAAAAAAAGAGAATACTTGTTAATAAATAT